AAAGTCTGTCTTTATTTAAGGTTTTATGAGAGCAAGAAAAATCAGAACCACAGCTGTATGGATAGGCAATTGTTTTTCGCAGCATTAAAGAACAGGGAGCTGTGCTGAGTCCTGGGGGAATTCAAGGGAAGCAGACCTTGTCTCCCACTATAGCTACGGTTCTCATAACATGGCACATCGCCTGCTTCAGCACATGAAATAGAAACAGTATGTGAAGTCTCCATTTTCCTCAAAGGAACTGGGAGAAATACCTCCAGTTACATTTCTCAAGCAAAGCCAGGCATGATGGCACACACTGTAATCACAGCACTCTGAAGCAGGAGATTGCAAGTTCAAGCCCATCCTGGGTAACTTAGCAACTTAGCAAAACCCCCGTTATTATTTATCAGAATAAAACATGAAAAACCTGTGAGGGATGTAGCTCAGTGTGGAGGCTATGGGTTTAATCCCCAGCGCTGGAGAAAAAAGCCCCAGCAGGAATGGTGATATTGGGCAGACTTTTATGTTTGGGTTGCTTTGAGATTCTAAGAGTCAGTATCACAGATACAGGAGGCAGATGTCAGAAGAGGGACACCAGCTATTGTTCAGTGCAGAAGAAACACAGTACAACTGGAGAAGGGACCCTCTTCTCCTCTCTGCATCTCTCCCCAGCCTCCACCCAGCTCCAGTGCTGGGAAGTCTGAGTAGCACTGATACACCTAAGCTCACAGCCAGTTACATCTGAAAGCAAACTGACTAGGGACAACACATGAAATTGTTTAAGAAGGTGTAGTCTGATGATAGGCACATCTGGAGCCTACCATGAAGGCCCAGATGCGTGGGTCAGCCTTTCAAATGTAATTGGAGCATCCCAAACCCAAAATCCAAAAGCCAAAATGCATAAGTGTACTGAAGAAGTTTTGGATGTTGGAGTATTTCACACGAGGGATGTTTAACTGGTAAAATCTATGGAAATATCCTAAAATCTGAAAAACTCCAAAATCTAAACTTCTGGCCCCAAGCATCTCAGATACTGGATGTACCACCTGCACTAAATGTTCCCTGTCACATTCATCAGTGGTCTGAAACAGCTGTACACTTTGCCTCCCACAGCATAGGAATCCACCTGTACAGCAGGTCTCCTGGCATGGGGAGGTTCTTAATCTGGGGATTGTGGGCCTGATAGCACCTTGGATAAACTTCGTGGGTCTACAGTGAGTTCCCTAAACGTCCATGCTCACAGTGTATCCATCTCACATGTGTCGTCGCTGTGCATGTCAATGTGGAGAAAGGTTAGTGGAGGTTATCAGAGGTATTTTTTAGGAAGTGTGTGCCCGTACTTGCAGTAGAATGCCACGGAGAAGGCAGGTGGCTCCGAAATAGTACTTTCTCCAGAAATAATCAAAGTCATCATACCAAGCACTTTTACTAAGAGTGTCTCTGGAGCAACACCATTTTCTCCAATCTAGAGAGTTTTTGTAAATGTTACCTTTATTTTGTACTTTGTTAAAAATTCAAAGAGTTTTTGAAAAAATTAATATGTAAAAATGCATTGGACACACTAAAAAATGAAACTAAATGTATCATGTAACATACAATATTCCAATGCACTTTTACACCTCCAACATTTAAATTAACCGAGTCAGGATTTCTAGGTTGACAGTGTCAAATTCAGCCTAACTTCCATGTGATTTAATCTCTAACAGTGGTTTTAAACTAAGGGACAATGTTTCTGCCTGTGGGATATTTAGCAATTGTTGGGTACACTTTTAGTCATCATCTTTGTTATGGGGGGTATAATATTGGCCAAGAACGCTACTAAATACCCTACATTGTACATGACACCCTTTCACAACAAAGACGTATTCAGCCCAACATGTCAATCATGATGAGATGGAGAAATCCAGGTCTAGACCTTGACTACTGGTATTATCAAAACCTTCAAACCAGGCTAATCCATCCATGTTCACTGTCCCCAGCAGCCATGAAAGTAACTTCCTGTTCATGTGCTGGCATGTTTGTTAATCTGCCTCCACCCCCAGTGAACTTTATTTATTCTCTGTCTTATCATTATGGCTCCAAACCGGCCACTGCCCCAATCTTTTTGAAAAGTCCCTTAGTCTCAACTGGTATTCTGGATTTCACAACAGAATGGTTTGTGTTGTCTTGTTATTGTTGAGTTGTTTGCTTTTCCAGTCCCTCTGGCTTTAGAGTACTGGGCTCCAAGTCCAGGCTCTCTAGTTAGACAGATTTAGACTTGAGTCCCTTCCTGATCAGTAGATGCAAATTCTCAGGCAAGATATTTATTTCTCTGAACCACAATTTCCTTTTTCATAAAATGAGATGCCAGCCTCAATGACCCTGCCCCCAAACCCTCTTCCTCATTAAGGGAATAACTATCACTGTATTATCATCTTGGTCCCAAGTCCCTTACAGCTGGTGTAGATCCTGCCCTTGTATTGTAAGGCTTACATGAGAACATATGTGAACCATACATTCTCAGCTGGTCCTTAGTAATCAATAGAGTGCTTAAGGGAGATATCAGTCCAAAAAATGACAGTGGAAGTCAAGTGTGTACAAGAGATGTGTTCATTACTAGTATGAGCTGAAGCGAGAAAAAAGTTCAAAACACTTGCAAATTTGGATTTATTATAGTTACATAATAAAACACATGCTCTTTTATTTTCAGTTACAATCTAGAAATTGTGATATTTCTTTATTTACCAGAGTTCAAGGCATCTCTCAGAGACAATATCCTAGCTAATATGACACACCCTTATGAACCAGAAATTATAACCAAGTTTAAATATCATGGCTGGACATTAGCCAGGTACAAATGTTAAGCTACTCACGACCTTAAACCTATGCACCTATATATATATAACAATATTTAAGAAAAGAGTTTGCATCTCTCAAATTAGCCATAGTCTCCTATTAACATACACAAATTACAGACCCCACCCCCAGAAACTAATTTAATAGTCTGAAGTGGATGGAGATTTCTGAAGTTTGTGGGAAACCCTCCCTAACTCTCCTGTCTAGCACATAATCCATACTCTCCAGATGTGCCTGCTATTGCCACCAACACAATCACACTGTCTGCCCCATCGATATTGCCCCTGAATCCAGCTCACCACATATGGCCCTTCAGGAGACAGGGATATGAATGGAATAAACATGGGTACATGTTGGAAATTTTCATTCTCCCCAGAGACATAAATTTAGTCACAAACTGACTTGAAGAGTAAAGTGATGAGATTTTATTCTTGACTACGCAGTCAGTAAGAAAGAGTGCCCGTCTCTGGGAAATCCCCTTCCTCTTTACCTCCATTCATAAGAAAGACTTATTTTTATGTGGATCCTCCTCTATGACACACCAGCTAAAGAAATAAGGTATAATAACTGCTGTGTTGCTTCACTGAAAACTCAAGCAACCAGTAAATCCCATATTAAACAGTTCACCTAACTTAAATATTTATTGGGCACTTGGTTGCTATTGGAGTTAAAAGAGAACTGAAATATAAGATAAATAAACCAATACTGCCCAGAGCACTGCTACTCCAAAAAATGTCATGTGCTAGAAGGTACTGAGCCCTTGCATTACACCTGCGGGCTTCTTTATGTGCATTTTTGTTTCACCTCTTTCTTAGGAAGAAAGAAATATTGTCATCATTATTATTATCTTGTTCTCAAGTGACATATACAGATCCACCCATTTGATATTAACAGACCTGTCTTGGTTACTTTTTTCTCGCTGCTGGGACAAAATACCTGACGCCCAAAATTAAGGAGGGAAAGGTTTATTTCGCTTACAGTTCGTGGAAGTTCAATCCGTACTTGGCACGTTATAAGGCAGAGTGGCACGTGGCAGAGGGCTGCATCTCAGGACGGCAGCCACAGCTAAGCTGCAAGCACACACACCAGGGCAGAATGGGGGAGAAATAGCCGCAAGCAGCTTCTTCCTCTCCCTTACATATGCAAACTATCCATTCCAGGGCGGGAGCAGCTCTCACACCCACAATCATTCAACTCTAATAGCCTGCCCATGGTCGCATGAGGCTTTGGAGGGGACATACAGAACAAACCATAACAAGACCAATAAACAAACAAGTCCTACAGACACCTGGCCATTTTCCAGCATATTGAGTTTGTGTTGGGAAAGCATATAGCTTCAAGTGTTTGGCGCAAAGTAAATGCATTACAAGGGTAATAATAATAACAATGATGATGATGATAATGATGATGGTGATGATAGCAATCTACAAGGTTGCTCTATGTGAATGGTAGTCCAGTTATGGAAAGAAGAAAACTCAGTCTCAGAAAATTTGAATGAGTCACCCAAGGCTCCACTGCCAGTGTCAAAGTTGACAGCAACCTGATTCTTTTATGTGACGCTGTCCAAAAACCTGATACTTTTGAGAGTTGTGATGGATGAACTCACCCACAATAAACATCTATCCTCCTAGACTCCTCCCTACCTGAACTTAGGTGTTGTGGCTGTAAATAGAAGTCTCTTGTTCTCATCTTCAAGTTCAATGCTAGGATGTTCTCCTTCTTCAGATCTCTTTCTAAGGTGTCTAGAAGTAAGACAGCACAAGCTCTGAGGGTCTTCTGCCTCTGGAATCAGGAATCCCTCATGTTCTGGTAGGAAATTTGCATCCTTTCCAGAAGCAGAGTTCACTTGGCTACTCTCACCAAGCAAATCTGTTGCTACACCAAATTCACCTCCTGCAGATGGAGAACAGCCAGTGGCCACAGCTATTAACCTGAGCTCTAATTAGGGTGGTTTTATAATGAGGGAAAGGCTGTGATTCTAATTAGTAATTTTCCATCTTTTTCTCAGTAGGTATTCCCCAGTCAAAGCAATATGCTCTCCTGCTTGCACTGGTCACATTGCCAAAACATAAATGCAATATAGAACTTTAGCAAAAATGAAAATAGCGAAGGAGTCAGGGAAGCAGAACAAGGTTTTATTTGCCACTAATGTGCTGTTTTGTTTGTTCCCTTGACCCCTTTCTTAGGCCCGAGGTGCTGCAATGGTTGGTTCTGACATGGTTGTCACTGTTGAGTTCACCAATCCTTTAAAGGAAACACTTCAAAATGTCTGGATACACCTAGATGGTCCCGGTTTATTAAAACCCAAAAGAAAAATGTTCCGGTAAGTGAAATGAAATCCCCAGTAAAATGTCTGAGAAGCTACAATTTCTTATGGACCATGTATGTGGGTCATGGGGAAAAAATAGGGTTAGTTTGACCAACCCTTGCATACTTAAACCACCTCATGAGAGAGACACAACTAGCATTGCTTTTCTAGAGCTGAGGAATTTAGGATTTCAGAGGGCAATTGGTTTGTTCTCCATGTTACACAGTTTATAAAGGTAGAGGTGAAATTTAGACTCAAGGTGGCTAATTCCTCAATCCAAGTTTCAATCACTTTCTCACACTTCCTCCTCATGTATCAACTCTCCAAAGTCCTCACTCTCAACATGTATGTACAGTGTGTTAGATATGATGTGAAAGAGATCCCTTTAATAAGCTTTTTCTTTCCAGCTCTACTTCTTTGATTTTGATAACCAATCACAGTCTATAACAATTGCTTTTATTAGCTATTCTTCTAGTTGAGCCTGAAGAGTTCTAGAATTTGCTTCCATCAGAGCTCTGTAATTTTAGGAATGTAACGCAGCCTATTCCAAGCCTAGCACCATCAGACTGTGCCCTCCAGGGCTATTTCTATGGTTTCTGTTGACAACGACTATTTTCCAACAGGAGAGCCCAATTCCATTATAAGGTGGCTGTAATTGTAGGAAAACAGATCGTTTTTACATTTTGTCCTACCAGTGATACTAATTCTGTTAACTGGAGTGGCACAAAATAAAGCCCATCTGTCTTCTGTCGATGGCTTGCAAATGTTTGCAAACAGCTGTCTCATCTTCCTGGAGCCTTCTCTACTGAGGACCAAATACCTGCCCCAGCTCCATCTTTTTCACCTCTAATGCGGTGTCACTCCCTCCCTGTCCCACACACTCCATTTGTCAGAGCTCCTCTTCAAGTGTGACACCCAGAATGGATCCCAATCTTTGAGGCTTATTACTTTCATTTCTACCACAAATAAATCCCTGTCAGCATCAATCAATCCAGCTCATTTCCTGTGGGTGACCTTCTATGGCACAGAAAAAGAAGTGGAGGACTTTGGAAACTGCCCTATGGTTGGACATTTTAGGAATTTCCCCAATGCCCTGTGTGGAAATGAACTCACTCTGTAAGCTATAGGACAGGTGCAAGACCTTACACTTCCTAGATCAGCTTTATTCCCCACAAATGACTGCATTTCTTTCAAACTACAGGGCCCACAACTTCTATGCCTTGTCGTTTAGGAGATATCTTACTGTAGATGAAATATGTAGCAAAGAAAATAATTTGAGTGTTTTTCTTAAAATTCATGCACAAGACATAACAACTTTCTTGTGCTAATAGGAAAGTTGCAGAAAAAAAAGAAATGAGTTAGATATCAACCCCAGCTAGAGGAAGAGGTCAGAAACAATAGCCCAGCTTTTGTCAGAAATGACAGCCTCACTCACCCGTTCTCACAGACTTTCACTCAAATCAGATGCAAGAAATGCTCAGGCAAATTGAAACATGCACATTTCCTCTTCCAAACAGCCCCTGCAGTATCCAACTAGTCCTTTTGAAACAGTAGCCCCACAAAGCTTCATCTGAAGGTACCAGCACCTCATGCTGCCCTGCCACAGTGGCTGTCCCCAGAATCTGCCTTGATCAAGACCAACATAGCTGCTGAGGTTTGGATGAGTGTCCCCACAGGTCTATATGTAAGAGCTTGGCAATATTGGGAGATGCTGTGCCCCGGGGATGTCCCCTCAAAGCGGATTATGGTTGAAATAGGAAAAGAATGGATGTCCCTACATGCACACAAAGAACAAGTCCTTCTCACATGATGACATAGGCTGCTGTTAGTACTTACTGCAGACACACAGGTTATGGGCAGATAGGTGCACAGACAGGAAGCTAGATGCTCTGTCTTCAGCATCTGGGATGCTACAGTAGAAGCACCATAGATGAGGTAGCTTAAACAATGGATCTTTTACTCACAGTTCTGAAGTCCTGGAAGCCCAAGGCCAAGGATCCAGCCAATTGGTTCCTCACGAAGACTCTCTTCATAGTTTATAGACTGCATCTCCTTGCCGTGTCTTATATGATACAGTGATAGAGTAAGATAGACAGCAAGCTTTCTGGTGTCTCTTCTTAGGACGCTAATTCTTTCATGAAGACCCCACTCTCATGACATTAGCTAAGTTAATGACCTCTCAAAACTTCATCTCTAGACACCACCACATTGTGGGGTAGGAATTCAACACAGGAATTTTGGGAAGCTATAAATATTCAATCCACAACAGTCCCCATTCTCTTAGGGGAACTCAGATCCAGGGTGGAATCTCTCCCAGGCAAGGGAAACTAGTTCTCAGACATAGTCAGAAATCGGTGGTGGGATGGGGTGGGTAACAGAGAAAACATTTGCTATCTGGACAGGCTTGGGGCTTTGGAGCAAGCACTACTTTCTCTGTTTCCTCCTGACTCTGGCACACACCTTTACAACCAAAACCCGAGCCAGCCGTAACCCACTTCCATATGGCCAGGTAATTGGAAGCATATCACCATACACTGTGTTGCTGAGATCAGGTCTAAGAGTGCCAGACCCATGTGACAACTTGGACCTCTAGAAAGTGCAATTGGATAGAACCAGAATCCTTTTCAAGACTGTATGACACAGATTTTGAATACCAAGGGAATTACCAACCCCATCCTTCTACCCATGCCTTTCACTGGAATGGAATCTAGAAGGTGAGGGGTCCCAAGCCTAAAGTGGAGGACCTGGAAGGCAGGAGCTTGTGAGCAGGAGACTGGAAATGGGAATAAAGAAGGAAATGCTGAGTTTCAGTCCTTGCTCAGGATGCAAACCACCTCTAACCTGGGATGGTTTACCTTCCTGTTCTTTCCCCACTGCCTCCTGCCTGTCTCAGATGTTCAGAGTCTCGGTTCCCACAGACTCTTGGCTTTTACCTTAGGCACTTGGTACTTCCAGAACATCAAATAATTCCTCTTTCAGATTCATTTTTCTTTTTAAAAAATCATCAGGTTCAGTGAGTTATTTCAAGAAAAAAATTCCCCAACTTTGTGATTTGGGTTCAAACTTCAAGTTTCTCCAGCAAGGCAGAAGCTAAGAGCTAGACACACAGAGGACAAGCCATAGGTAGTTGCAGCTTATTGTAATAATAATCCCATTTGCCTGCATGCATTCAAGATGATAAATGGCCAGTGTATCCTGATGGCTCAGCACATTACTGGGGATCATTTATTACAACATCCATCCCCAGGAAGTAGGACTGTTCCCACAATACTCCACTTACCAAAATGAGCAAACTATTTTTTCCTCTTTTTCTAGTATATATCTATCTGTAGGTAAAACCGAATGCATGTGTGTCTTTGTGCCGGTATATTTTCTTACATACACACCATTATGCAGCTAGTTCACCCTTCCCCCTTCCACCTACATTACACAGTCGCAGGTCAGATCCCTAAGCAGAACAACTGTTTCACAAAGTACATCTGACTGATCATGTGGGAAACCAGGTGGGAGAGAATGAAAGAATCTGGGTGGAAATAGCACATTTCTTGAGAAATAAGCATCTTAAACCAATATTCACATTGAATCGATCACTGTAAATTAAAGACAAAGAAATGTCTTTCAACATAGAGGCAGGAGAAAATTTTCTAAATTATTTTACTGAGAGTTTAGGCAGAGCAGCAATAACCACAAAGGTAGAAGTGATAGAGATAATAATAAGAACAACAATAAGATTCTCACACTTCTTGGCACTTGCCATGGTTCTAAGAGATTATTGACTCACCTTAGCTTCTCCTGCCCCTGCCCAAGAGTGCTCACCTTTTATAGAAAAACAATGACAAGGTTAATGTTTTTCTGACCTTGTGTCATAAAGTAAATTGACTTAGTTTGAAAAATATGCATATATATCATTTATGAGTGCATTTTTCACATAATGTGGTTTTTATTTAACCGATCAAAATTACTTATCCACATTTGTAAAGAACCAAAGCTAAGGGGCTGGGGGTTTATCTCAGCAGCACAGTGCCTGCCTGGCAAACGTGAGGTCATGAGTTCGATTCCCAGTACCAGAAAAAAAAAAAAAAAAAAAAGAGCCAAAGCTAAGAAAAGGCATTAACAAACATCAAGTTAATTTAGACAGTTTAGATTATCAGTGTTAATAACTAGAGAAGCCCATGGAGAGAGTTCCCCAAGGCCATAGATTCTTTTTCCAATTCACTGGCCACAAATAGGAAAGGAAGAGAATTTCTTATGTAGTGGCTGCGTTTCTAAGATTTGGGCCCTTTCTCCTTTTTATCTCACTGTAACTATAATGAACACTGTTTTACTGACATTAGAAGAAATCCTGGGATTCTAACGTTACATAGGAGAGGTCAAGTGTAGGTCTGTGATCTAGTATTTCCCCCACCTTTTATCTCATTTAAAGGGATGTTGTGAGGACCCAGCTCCCACAAGGGAAGAGAAGGCTCAGCAGGCTCAGCAGGCTGGAACCTTTGGGCCACTTCAGACTTTGACACTTCCCCCTTCTCCGGCCACTACAGTCGCAGTGCAAAGCTAGTGTCGCCCACCGGCTCTTTCCATGGTGTCTAGAGGAACACCAGAAGCCCAGAATGAGCTCACCCAGCCCTGAGCCCAGAATGTCTTGGTGCACGTTCCCCTTCTCTGTGCACAACTACTCTCCTCTGGTTCCCCAGCATGACCTGGAGACATTCCATCACCCAGTTCTGACCCTAGTGCTTCCCACAGCCGCCGCTCCCCTCACAAGTCCTGGGTACTGACATGAACAGTAAGATTCCTGTCTGGCTCAGCCATACACCCACTGTGAAATCTAGGAGAAGCCTCTTGATTTGTTTGAAATATACTTTTGGGGATGGACCCAGGGGGATAAGAATGCCTTCCTCATTGGAAGGGTAAGAAACACAGTGCAGTACCTTGCTTTCTACCTCCTCCTCCCTCCTCCATCCTCACTCCGCACTTTCCACTCACCCGAATACAGGCCTTTCAGGAGGAACACCGTCTCTTGTATGCCAAGAGAAATATTCACACAAACCCAGCCTTGTGTGTGCAGATCCAGCCGTCCTGTAAGCCCACGCGTCACTGAGGGACACGAGCTTGGCACCAATTTCAGCTACTCACAAAGCACCTTGGCATAGAACTCAACCTCCTCACCAACGTCACAAACCTTGCTTTATGGCTTGGTTAACAGATTTGCCCATCTATAGCTACTGACTAAGCCAGCCACCTGCTAACACTCCTTCCACTTTATCTTCAGCCCAGAAGTCTGAGCCCAAGGATTGACCTTGCCTCAATGGCAACATAACAAAGTGGTTGGGTAAAACGTTGTCACATAATAAATTCATCTGGTAAGGATTATAGAGAAAGAAGCAGCTGAACCACTCTCCCTGTCATTTTGTAAACAAAGAAGCTGGTATGACTGAAATGACAACAGCTAGTATTTTCTGAAACTTCAGTCCATATCAGACCTGTCCTGTTCTCTTTGCTTGAAACACTTCATTTAATGTTCACATCAGTTCTGTGGTGAGCATTGCACCCTCCTCATTTTGCAGATGAGAAAACTAAGGCTTAGAGAAGGATCACCAAGTACCTGAGCTTGCACAGCTAATAAGTGGGAGAGTCAGGCTTTGAGCCCACATGTCTGACACAAGTCCATGGGGCTTGTAACCGCAGGACATATTTCATCATGTGGACACCAGTCATTTCACGTTTTTTAGATAGCAATGTGATTTTTTAAATGGATACATTCATACAATTTTGCTTTTTTGCTCTATAGCTCCATGTGACGAAAGCTATAATCATTAAATAAAACTTAAATGCAACAGTGTTCTTTAGGGAACCATATGATTAACAAAAACATTTTCAACTTGATAATCTTCATTGTATATTGTCTTCATCTTCATAACTTTAGAGTACCCAGAACTATTTTCTGAGGCTTTAGGCCTCCAAACCCACTGGACTTCAAATCCAGTAGGTACCAATTTCAGTGATCATAAAGGAACTGTGAAAATGCAGAGATTACACTTAATGAGCCATGTTTGGAGCAAACTCTACATTGTTCAAAGGCATATGGAGCAGATTTAACTGTATCATTTCAGGGTGGAAGCAGCCAACTCTTTTGCTATGGTGCAAGTTTTTCTTACCACCATTTATTTTTGCTTTCTGATATTCAGGTCTTCATGAACTTCGAAATAGCATTAATTGCATTCTCTTAACAGGAATGTAGAAATATTCTGCAGTTGGCTCCAATTCCAGTTTTTCTATTGTCTGGGTCATTTGGTTCTGTGATCTTGGAGATTCTGTTGGTTTGGGCCTTGGTCTTCTCACCTGTAAAATGTGACAGTTGGGCTAAGTCATTCCTAAAGCCCTTTCCAATTCTGACAAGCTGTGCTTCAGCAACCCCATGGAAACACTCATGTCTCTTTTTGCCTTTTCAAGACTCTCATGATAGTCTTTATTCATCCCCCTCCACCCTCCCAGGAAAAAGCCACCCAAGGTTCCATACCTGGCGACCCAAAACAAGACCTCACCAAAGAGCAGAGTGCAGAGAGCAGGAATCTTCCAGGCACAACACTTATAGGAAGCTCTTACTACTGAAACAAAATATCTCTGCAAAAAAGTAATCACAATGATGAGAAAAGGCATCTTTTGCAGACTATGTAGGCAATATATATGTAGAAAAAAGGCAGGGATTTGTAACTCAGATAAACCTGGGATCAAAGCTCATCTCAGCATATTCACCAACTGTATGATCTTGCAAAAGTGACTTCACGGTGTAAGTCTCCATCTGTCACAGAATATCTCCTCAGGGCACTGTGACATGTACAAATCCTATGTATTATCTCCTCACTGGGTTACATGAGAGGATGAGTGAGGGGTACACCAGAGAAAACAGAATCTCCCCAGCCCTCTCCAGTCATCCAATGGAGAAAGCTTATCCATGAGACATAGAAAGATCTGAGCATGCACTGAGGAGGAAGAGGACAGTCAAGAACCACAAAATGGTCACCCCATTGTCAAGACAAATTAGGGTCTTGGCAGTAAACAAGTAGCAGAAAGGTGCATTAATAGAGAGAACCCAGTGTGGTGGTTAAATAGGATTATGGACTACAAAGCATGAAGATACCAAAAGTCAGATGGCAGCAGGCAGGGTCATGGTCCAGACGTTGGAGCTGGAAACAAAGGCAATTGGAATTGGTAACAGCTACTTAGAAAGTCAAGACCACAGCAGAAGCAGCTGAGAACTCAGCCTGGATCCAAATGCCAGGAGGGAACTAGAGGTAGAAGATCATTCACATACACAAGGTTACTGTGAAGGGCTTGGGGTCAAAGTAGAGTTTGGTTGACTCATAGCTGGGTGAGATGCAACCCAGGTCTTGACATCTACTGGGAGGCCATTAGATGCACCCAGGTAGAAAGAACCATGACCCAGTAACAGTTAGTGACCAGCTCTGCAGTGCCTCCTGCAGGGCCCTCATTGGTTATTATTTTCTGAATAAACCAACAAAGCTCTTCAGTCCCCTGAGCACTGTCAGCCAAGAGAAAAGGCAAGTGGCCCAGGCAGTTTCCTCCCTGTTTCCTGATGCAATGGAAAGTGGAACCTGCCAACCTCTCCTCTCTTTCCCATCCTTTCAGTGAAATTCGGCCCAACGCCACCGTGCAATGGGAAGAAGTGTGTCGGCCATGGGTTTCTGGCCCGCGGAAGTTGATAGCCAGCATGACCAGTGATTCCCTGAGACACGTATACGGCGAGCTGGACTTGCAGGTTCAAAGACGACCTTCCGCCTAAATGCACAGGAGGCTGAGATGGGCCCAGGCGCTTGACCTCTTGCAGTGTTGCCTGAGGAAATTCTAAAGCAAAACTAGTTAGCTCTTGCTTTGACAAACATAGAAGACCCAGACAACACTGGTGAAAAACCAAGAGCAAGGATGCCATGCATTTCAGAAACACTTTTCCAAATCCAAACTATCCAGTGTGGAAGTTAGTTTCGAATCACTTGACCTTCCAAGGATTCTAAGAATTAACTTTAATTAAGCTCTAATTAAGCTGTCATAACTCATAAGAGTAAAAGTCATCATTTATCATTGCAAATGGCTGCAACTCCAAATATCAGAGGGCTTCCCTTAGCAGGAAGATATGCTCAATACCTGGCCTCATTTAAAACTTCCAATCCCCACTCAGGCTTGTGAGGGTACCATATGCCCTCCAAGGGACAGGAGCATATGATTTGGTCCTTAGAATTATATTCTCCTTCCTTGGAATCAGGTTCTAGCCTCTGTGTTAGAATATTTGTCCCAGGAATTGAACACATCATTTTTCTTCTTGGCAAAGCCAGGAAAAGGTTGTTCATCTTGCACCTGCAGCCAAGCAGTTTCCTGCCAAATTCCACAGCTTCACCTTGTAAGAAGATGCAGCCCTATATTAACAAATTGTATTTGTGGGAAACTTAATCACCTAGGAGGAGAAAAGAAAGCAGGTGCAATACTCAGATCTATTAAATAATGTAGTTTTGTGGTGCACTTTATAAGTGTCACACAGTGGCCTGATCAGCAGGAATCAATATCCCTTAATTTAACCCTTTCTGGGGTGCAGCAGTAGAAAGTAATTAGGCTTATTTGGGACTGGAGGAATGAGAAATTAGTCACCTTAATTAGTGGGTACACTTCCCTGTGTCTCTGGAATCATCTCCTCCGTGCAGTGACACAGGCACAGACCTTTTTTAGAGCTGGAATTATCCCAACAGGCTGGAGAAGCTGGCAGATTTAGTGATGAGACTGGTAGGCAGGCAGGCAGCTACTAATTCTCTTTACCTTCACATTGCCCGCATTGAGACTTCGCCTCAACTTTCAAGTGCCAAAAGTTACCATGGACCCACTTTTGCCAATAGCCAGTGCTAGTGCTGACCCAATGACAAATGATGTCAAGAGCATTTGTGTTACGCTCCAAGGGTCCAACAGTCAAAGCTACTGGTATTTATTTGTAAGGTGGATACATGGTCATAATTTCCCACTGAAATGCCTTGGTGTGGTTTAGGTCAGTAGATTATGACTGACAAAATCACAGTGGGAAAGAGGGTGTGGGAGTTGGAATGGAATGTTCCAGCCTGTGGAGCTACATTTCTAAGCTTTTGAGACTCTTCTTGAGCCTTCAGTTCTAACCCATTAGAGTGAGTCCCTTCTATCAGCATATCCCAATCATACATATCTTCCAGCGTTTGCCAAGCTTTTCAATACCAAATTGTAAAATGAAATGTATTTTGCTAGACTGTTAAACTGCAGTACCTAATTATGTTATTAATGAGAATGTAATAGATGCTTAAAATAAAGTTAATCTGATTACACTGGAATGTGCACAGAAGTTGATGTTGTTAATTTTCAGTGCCTCACACAACTACTCACAGTGCTTGAGAAACTATCCTGCCTTTGCAGTGAACAACCCACCCTGGATAGGAGGACAGGTTATTTCAAAGAAAAATAATACTAAAAAGTACTGAAGTCACCATTAGCTCGCCTCACCTCCTCTCTGCGTTTTATTAATCACATTTACTGAAGGAAGAAACCTGCATATTTAATTTAAAAGCCAGCTTCCAGACACTGAAAAGTCTCCATGAACGTTTTCCCACGAATGATCTTGTGTCCCATCATGGTGAACCAGTGGATAGTCAACACAGGAACCAAGAATAATGAATACCAGGCACTGACTTACAGCAGGAATGGAAAACAGGGGGCAAGTGTACACAGGAAATCCTGGATCCATGGCAGACCTCACTGAATAATCACAACTCAGACAGAACCTCAGGGTCCTTCCCAACTCTAAGTAGCAACTACCAACTGATTTGGAGTTCATTTGGCACTTAACTTAGAACAGGTGCATTGTTATTAAGACAATGTAATAGATGCTTAAAATAGAGTTAACCTGATTATATCTGCATCTGCATAGGAGTGAACACTGTTAACTGACTCAGCACACAAGATGAAACCAATTCATCATGTCTACCTTAGAACCAGCTGTCCCCTGAGACTGCTGTGATTCTGCACTTGTAATGATGCTGCTGCAGTTTGGATTTGGAGTGGCCCCCTAGCGCCCCATGTGTTAGAAGTTTATTCCCAAGCATGCCCTACTGGGAAGTGGTAGAGCCTTTAGGAGGTAGGGCCTGGTGGCAGGTCATCAGGTCACTGGAGAAATGCCCTTGAAGAATATAGTGGGGACTTCAAAGCCCTTTCTTGTGTTGTCTTTCACTTTCTGACCACAAGGAGAGTGGCTTTCTTCTGTCATGTGCCTCACACCATGTACTGTGCTGTCATAGGCTCAGAAGAAATAAGTTCTATCAACCATGGTCTGAAACCTCCGAAACATGAGCCAAAATAAACCTTTTCTCTTTGTAAAATGATTATCTCAGGTATTTGTTCCAGTAACAGAAAGCTGACCTCCTCCAATGCTGTGGCTTTAAAAATCATATTTTAGCAGTAGTGATGGGAAATGTGCCCCAGTTATGGCAGAGACTGAGAGTTCCAATGTCTGCCTCTGCTAGTCCTTGGTGTCTTTTGAACATCCTTCTGTGTGTATAGAGCTTCAAGACTAAAGAGAGGTAACGATACTTCTATTTCCACAAGATCCGTCCAGGGAACATAGCAAACCAACCTTAGAAACAGCACTTTGTTTGGACAATATTTCATGCCGATATCTTGCACTCTGAGTAACTACTATGAAGATAACAATACACAATGTATTAATTGTTGTTACTCTCATATTTCTCTTTTAAAAATAAAAAATTATAAAAGTAAAAAAAATACAGGAAAACAGAAAGATACATAAACAGACATTGTATTTTTTCAAATAAGCTCACTTATCAACCTTGTGAAAGAAATACCTATAAGTGCTTAATGAAGAACCTAAGAAGAGCTAAGAAGCCATGTATCATTGGAAATCAAGCTGGGATGGGAGTGTGCAGTAAAAACAAACTCTGGTTTTAGAATAACATTTGCCATACTCTCTTTAATCTCTTACCTCCTTGGAGTTTTTGGAATACTGGCTTCAGACCAATTTAAGACTCCTTGAACAGCTGCAGAAAAATCACAAATAAAGTATGTACCAGTTTATAAAAGGGATGAGGGGAATTGGACTTCCTGCTAGACTCATTGACAATCAGAAATCACAAAATCCCAGGTGGAAAGTCATTTTTAATGAACATTCTTTCAGTGTTATATAAACCATTCACCCATTCAGTTTTCTACCATTCAGCCACCTGCTACTCTTCTACCAAACATCCAATATTCCAATCATCTATCTATGCTTTTTTCCAACCATCCATGCATGCATGCACCAAGCATCATTCTCAAGCCTATGGATTAAGTAGTGGAAAGTCCATGGCCCCTTCTCAGAGGCAGAGAGGAATCAAGATGTAGAGGCAGATGAAGTACATTATGATAGACATAATAATAAGGACATGCCCAGAGACTCATGGGAATAAAGGAAAGCAGATGAACTAGACACTGATAGGGAAGAACTTGTGTATCAACCTAGGGAGAAGAGTAAATTTGAAATAGAAAATGTCAAAATTAATAAGCAAACTGCAGTCTCAGATCTCCAGCACACCCAGAACAACTCCAGGAGACATCCATATAGAAAAACTTGGAAGTCACATGCCTGAAATTTCTGAAATGATAGAAAATGAAGTAAAGATACAACTCCATTTAGCTATAGAAGAAATCAGATCAGAAATAATCTCCCAGATTAAAAAAAAAATGATAACCATAATGAAAGGATTGCTCAGCATATCTAAAGAAGACATAGATAAAAAAAAAAAAATAGAGAGGCCTGGAAAAATGATGGAAACCTTGAATGAACTATATAGGAAAGAATTAGAATGCCTGAAACAGATTCAAAGAGATATCTAAGGAATTAAAACTTCCACTGAAAGCTGGAAAAACTGCTTGAATGAAACTTAAGATAGACTTTCAGACCTTGAAGATAGCATTGCAGCTAGCAATAGTAAAAGGAAAGATCTCTTAAAAATAACAAGGAACCAGGAAATAACAATTCAACTGCTGCAAGGTGATACAAAGAAAAACAATATAAGACTGATAGGTGTCAACAAAAATCAGGAGTCAACATGGATGATATAAAAAGATTATTTGCAGTTTTGCACATCAAAAGACATCACCAATAGAGTAAAAAAAAAAAACCATAAATTAGGAAAAAAGTTTAGCTAACTGTCCCTCAGACAAAGGAGTTGTATCTAGAACAAAGAATTTTAAAACACTCAGGCCCCCAAAATTCAAAGACCCAATCAAAAAATGGATATCTGAGATGAATGCACACTTCTCAGATGAAGAAACACAAATGGCAAATAAATATATGAAAAAATATTCAACATTGTTGGTCATTTGAGGAATGCAAATTAAAACAATACTGAGATTCCATCTCATCACAGAAAGAATAGCTATCATCAAGAAATCAACCAATAACAAATGATGGAGGGGCTGTGGGGAAAAAGGAACACTTCTCCACTGCTGGTGGGAGTGTAGACTGGTACAACCACTGTGGAAGTCAGTGTGGATATTCCTCAGAAAACTAGGATTGGAGGTTCCATTTAACCCAGCTATTCTCCTTCTGGGTGAAGAACTGAAAACATACCACAGTGATATAAGGGCACCCAGGTTTATAGCAGCAAAATTTGTCATAACTAAATACTGGAAATAACCCAAATGTCCATCACCTGAGGAATGAGTAAAAACACTGTGGCATTTTATACAATGGAGTTTTACTCAGGTATAAAGAAAGATAAAGTTAAGTTTTTATAGGTAAATGAATGCAACTAGAGACTGTACTCATAAGTGAAATAAATCAGATCCACATGTATAAACATTGCATTGTCTCCCAAGTGTAAGAAACAGAAAGAGCAAATAAAATCCAAAAGGTACAATAGATATTGTAAAAGGGACAGTAACTGCCAGGGAAAGGAGAAAAGAAAATAGGAAAAAAATTATATATATATATATACATACACACACACACACTCACACACACACAAGATAGATAAGATAATTATACTACTAATTTCTATTGGTTTATTGAAAGGAACAGTTAATGCATAATTTTTGACCAACTTTACATGCTTATATCTGGTAATCTGAACACCTACTTTGAAGATAACAATATGCAATACAACAACCTATGATGTCCTATCATCTTACTTTGAAATTCTGCATCATTTTTAATGTTTTCTTCTTGTTTTTTATTCTCTTTAAAATAGGAATATTCATATTTGCATAATAAGGTATCCTAGGGATAGACCCCAAGTCTAAACACATAATTCACTTATGTTTCACATACACGTTGTATGCATAATCTGAAAGTAATTTTGTTCAGTATTTTAAATAGTTCTGTGCATAAAACAGAATTTGGGGGGCTGTGTTTGTTTTCTTTTCTTTTCTTTCCTTTTCTCTTCTTTTCTTTTCTTTTCTCTTTAGTGCTAGGGATCAGATCCAGGCCCTTGCACATGAACAGCAGGCTTCCCATTGAGTTACATCCCCAGCCCTGTAAGCAAAGTGTCATGGTATGCAATTTTCCATTTGTGATATGATGGGGGAAAAATTGTCTCTGATTTTGGCAGCATTTTGATTCTGAATTTTTGTATTGGAGCTGCTCAGCGCATACCTAAACTCAACATTTACAGCCCCTAGAACAAGGAAGCCCAATAGTGGCCTGAAACCAAGAGTTTCTGGTAAGGATGACCCAGAAACTAGCCACGGATGTCAGAAGCCAGTTACACTTTTGATTCCAGAGACACTAAAGTAGTCATATGACATGTTCAGTACTTATGGCTGCTCACATGAGCCAGCCGTTCTGTTACCCAGCATCTACCACCAGGCCTTCATGCCACAACTGATGCCCACATGTCTGCACAGCCCTCCCCAGAGTGTGGTCCCAGGCCCATGAAGGCCTCTCTCCCGCCAGTGCTGTTCCTCTCTGGCATGAGGCACTCTTTCCTGGGTGGATCAGTACTGCACGGCCTGCAAGGGGAAGAGCTTCGACCCACCACACTTCATCCTCTTCCTCAGATTAAAGATTCTTAAACTTGGTGGAGGTCTGGTACATGATGAACCATTGCACTTAATGTGGATTTTGAGTGTTTTCCTGACTGCAATGATACCTTCATTCTCCTACTTTTAGGGACATTTTAACATTTGCTTATCTTTGCTGTTTCTGGCACTAGCCCCCAATGGCTGATAGTATCCATACTTCATATTTGGACTTGTGTGTCTCACAGGGATTTCAGGTGACAAGAACACATCCTACCAAGCGTTTTTCCACCCACATGAAGCCCACTGAGGCAGAAGTGCC